GTAATGACACGGGGTGTCTCTTAACAGAGGTGTAAGAGCTTATCTTAATGAAACTGTTTTCATACTAATCATCACTTTTGGGAGTTGTTTACATAATGTTCCTGCTCTGTTCTCAGGAGGTGTATGAATGAATCCGGAGTGCAGTGAATGACAGTGCCATTGTTGCTGTCAAGAGCTGTTGCTTTTTTATTTCCCTTGCATCTAATCTAAATCCACCCTCTTCCAGTTTGAACCCATTATCCCTCATCCTGTCACTACAAGCCCTTGTAAACAGTCCTCTATTTTTCTTGTAGACCCCCTTCAGGTACTGGAAGGCTGCAATAAGGTCTCCCCACAGCCTTCTCTTCTCCAGGCTGAACAACCCCAAATCTCTCAGCATGCCTTCACAGGAGAGGTGCTCAGCTCTCTGATCATTGTCATGGCCCAGCTGCTATTAAATTAGCCACCCTGTGGAAGGCAATGTGGCAGTAGGCATTTGTACCCTAGAATAGCTGCTTTACTAGGCATTGCTGAAGCCAATGAAGCATTGAAAGTCCGTTTCTCACTTATTGGCACTTTCACATTAAAGCTTGTTCCGTGAGGACTGTGTAGTCCTTAGAGAGTGTAGCTAAAACGCACTTTTGGCAAGTATTTATGTATTTACTTGATTTTAGGAAAAATCGTTAGCACTATTTAATTAAATAACTTTATAAGCACGAAATCCAGGCTAAGACGTTTTAGCTGCCTGTGGAACAGTTTCCCTAAACTCAATGCCTTTTAGTTCTCTGAAGACTCGAAGTAATCAGGAAAGACCACTGGGGGGGGCAAACGACTTGTGTTAAGTGTGATCTGTGGCGACCCGCAACAGTTCCTCAGAGACAGCACAGGAAATTTGGACACTTAAGTATCTAAAATTCAAGAGTTAATTTGATGCCTCAATAATTATATAGGGTTCAAAACTTAATCGTATTACTCGTGGTATCTGTGCTAGAGCTGTATCTCATTCCTAATTTATCCATTCCATTATCTTGTGGGCTCTACCTCCTGCTGTCATTCCCCCTGTCTAAGCCCCTTGTCCCTATTATCAGCCTTCTCACTTTGTTTTCGATTGCCACCTTCAGCCATGGTGACTTTTACTCCCACGGCCTCACAGCAAGTCCAGTGAGGTTCAGCTTGGGATCACCAGGGGACAAATCCTCTTGTAACCCTGTGCTGTGAGATGGCAGGGATTTTCTCTGGCAGCAGGGTAACTGGGGAAGCTGTGAACCTGATGCTGCCAGGTCTGAGAGGACTGGCAGGAATCCGGGCACGGGCTCTGCCAGCTCTTGGGGAATAGCCACAGTAGTGGTACGGGGCTGTGGGCCAGTGGTGGACACTGACGAGGTGACACTGCCATTTGTGTGAAACGGCAGAAGAACGGTGGGGTGCTTCCTAGAGGATTTGGCAGGGAGGCCTTCAGTCAAGCAAACTGGCTGATGTGAAAGTTTTCCTTCAAACAGTTTCATAGCGACCTGCAGGGGAGACATTTCACCTCGGGACCAAACCACATGCAGTCTGGGAAAGCCTCAAAGTGTGATGTCCACTAGGAGATGTGAAAAGTCCCAGAACTGTTTAAGTGCTGTATGTAGCCATAGCAACAAAAGCCCAGGAGAAATCTGGGAAATGTGGAAAAAGGAAAGAACCAGAGAACTTCCTCCTTTCCACCCAGTGGCAGCAGCTGCTGTCCACGGAACAGAACAAGGTGTGGGAGCCTATAGCCTTGTGTCCTGCTGTGGGGAGCAATGTTGCCCTGGTGTGAAACAGAAAAAACATTTATTGTTTCCTACAGACTGGATCTGCTGTTAGCTCTCTCTTTGCAATGAGTTGTATCTACAGCTGTATGCTCATCTATAAGCTTGGCCCACATGTACACTTTTCACTGCAAATTAGAAAATAATCAGAAGTGTGATTTTTCTTTTTACCAAAATCTGTAACCAGTAATCAGTAAAGCAGCAATTGCCTCAGTAACATAATTGGATGCAATCGCAATGAGATATACTTCAACCCTTTAGAGAAACAAAGAATATTAGCATAAATAATTCAATATATTGATTTTACTTTTTCACCTGCAAGCTCAGGTCTTGGTTGGATGATATTTCAGTTTTACACATTTATATCCAGGTGAGTGCAACCAAGAAATTTCGAGAAATTTGTGAAATTTTACGGTGAGGTGCTGTGCACTATAGTGCACTTCACATTGGTTTGTGTGCTGTTAGTCATTAAGACACATGGGTACAGAAAAAAAGACCCCAAAATGCTTACTGAAACATATTTATAGTGTTCCTTTCTTAATATGTAGAGTGGCAAATTGATTAATTAGGCATTCACCTAGTAATAAGCCTAGTAATGTGCCGCACAGGCACGTTGCATACTCAAGGCCTTGGTGTGTTACATGTACTACAAGGAAGAAGCAAATATGCATCAGACTACCTAAGAATAAATGCTAAAATTACAGAATTTTAATTTGAAAACTGAAATCTCATTTCAGGGGTATAAAATGACCCTTAAAATCATACAAAAATGAATGTACCAGATCTTCCGCTGTTTTTCAATTGCTTAAAAGCTACTGATATCTGTAGCCCAAGGCACTGTCTACATTTTCTTCATCTGAATGCACTTCCTGATTACTTCCTTTAAAATGACAATGCTTGTCGAATTTAATCACATCTTTACTCTGTGTTAATACATTTCTTCCTAAGCATCCCCAAAATGTAGGCTAATTGCGCAGCTTATGCACTTTCTTTACTTACTTGTTTGAGATTTATATCCCAATTAGGTAATGTAAATAATTGCCCAGGAACATAAATGCATTGAAGATGAAACGCCTGTCAAAGCACCATTTGCACATGTGAGTGTTACTCTCTGGGCATTTCTATGAAATTCTTCAGCTGCCTGCCAAGTGTTGGATCAGAATTTATTATCCTACCTGCATAAACCACTATTGGTGATGAAATGGTGTATTGCAGCACGGATCTTTTATGACCAGTGTTACCAGTTTCCTACTCCAAAGTGCTGCAGTTCATCAAAAATACCTTAAAATCTAAATTATTTCAAATACACCACAACTGTGTTTACGCTTTAAACAAACCTTTATTTTGTAAAGCTTAAAAACTTAATGTATTTGTGAAACTGTAAAGGTGTATATACTTCTTTAGGAATCATAAACCAAAAGGAGACAGCTTACACATACACTCAGACTGAACTGGCTTTCTATTAAAATCTAGACAAGGAAAAATACTTTCTGCTTTGACTGGAACTTTTTAAATCTGGACTCAATTTGAGAATAAGATCTTACTTATATCTTACTCATATTTAAAAGCTGAAGTTTTTATCAAGCAGATCGCTGTCACTTTCAAATAGCTGTCAATCTTGTTCCAGATGAACTCAGTATAGTTCTTAACACGGATGAGTTTTGATTCCCAAATAATGCTTTGAAAATAGAGGATCTGAGTCATTACAATGTTTGTTCTACTGCGCAGTAAATTGAAATGTGGCACATACTAAACTTTATTCACCTCAGCTGTATTACTCTCTCCAAGCTGGAATTCTTCTCCCCTCACTCTAAAGTATCATCTACAGGCACAGCTACATTATTGGCATACATTGTCTGCCAAAAAAAAAAAAAAAAAAAAAAAAAAAAAAAAAAACAGCAAAAACACCTTTAAAAAATTTGGTGTACCAGCTGAAATATAAGCTATACCAACAAAATGGCTTGCTTGCAAAGATAAGCAGCATTTATTTTGTTCACTCTGTTCCATTAGCAAACTTTTTACAACACAGAGCAACTGCAAGGAAGTTTAAGCAGGTCCCAGAACGTCCCACTTCTCTCCTAGGTCAGCGTTTGGTGCAGAACTCGTATCTAGAAGGAAAACCAGCTCCCATGGCTCCCATGGAGCTCGAATGGACTACACAGCAGTGCGATATTACAGCTTCAAAGATGAACCGACCGAGCCACCTCAGTGGGCTGCTGGGTTAATGCTCTCTTCCTGGCGTCTCACTGCATACCTCCTGCAATCAAAGCAACACCATTCTCCCTTCCAAAAAGCAGCTTCTCCCAGTAGCTTCTGCAATTAAAAAAATCTGCAGTGTTTTCAGTATGCGCCCGTGACTTAACTTAAAAATAACTCGTTATGAAACATGTAAGAAAAACAGACCCTGCCTGGGTTGTGTTCAGCTTTATATATATAATTAATTAAAAAATAATGTTGAGTCTAGCTGCCACAGAACTCTCTGGACTTTATTTGAAGAGCTACAGCCGCCTGTGTAAAATGTGCCCTTCAGCGTATGGCATAGCACGTGGCATCTCCTTTACACGGTCCCACTAGTCCAGAACTAAACCCTCTGGCCCTGCCAGTCCAACATCTCTGCCAATGCAGTGAAAGCACAAGGTTAGAAGCCATTAAGTTATTAAGGGCTTGGTGATAAATCCTTGTCCATACCTTAACATCCAAATTAGTTACTGTGTACATCCCCGTGATACCAGTCAGAAAAAGCAACCCCCAAAGCCATACATTCTGCCCCTATAACAAATACATCAGTACTGTTTGCCTTAAGAAATTAGAGTTAACATTCAAACACTTGATTACATTTGCATAGGTGTGAAAATTTATTAGTTACAGTGTAATGAAAATCAACTTTTTTTGGTACAGGCAGAAGTAAAAACATACATTATATAGAAAAAAAAATCACAGCTTTAAAAACTGGCTTACATTGTTTAAAATGAGTAAATCTGGTTGTATTTCAAGGCATTGGACTTTAATACTTAATTTTATGCCAAACCATCACACAGTGCAAGAAATATTCTGCAATAGTACAAATTCCATACAGCAGTCTTCAGAGTATTTAGTCTCACAGAATCTCTTGGTGGCAAAAAAAAAATGTGCTGAGTATTTTTCCATTTAAACACAAAACATCACTGAAGTTAAATTTTTCTTTCTTTACATACACTCTATTACAAAAATATCAAATTGCAAATTTGACAGTGTATTCTACAAATAAATGCGCCATGGACAACAGGAATTGCAACTTTGGGACAGTTACTTTACAAAGTGTATTATAAAAATAAATTATATGGCAAACGTCAAACAAAATCAAGCACGTGCCTTAGGCTTTGCAAATAAAAGTGAAATTCAGCCGACAGAAAGACTGCTTCTCTCTCTCTGACTATGTACTTCCAAACTATCAGCAAGGCCCTTCATTTTTAAAGCTCTACCAAGAAAAAAAATATATATAAAATCTAATGGAAGCAATAAATACTTCCATGAATAATCAGTAGCACAAGTGACCCTGGTGTTGATGGTAGAGAGCTTCTACAGTGATCCGTCCAGCTGGCAAGGAAGGTAGTGCACACAGAGAGTGGGGGTGGTAACTCATCTAGAGTTCATGCGCAACTGGTGAATGATGACACTCTCTAAAAGAAAAGAGCAAAATATTTCATTGGATGAAACTGCAAACATGTTACAAGTTAGTTTAACGGACAGTTACAATGGCAGCACAAGGCGTTTTTTGTCTAGAAACATCTCACAGGTTTACATCACTGGTTGATGAATGCTGTCCTGGCTAGCTCTACAGAGGGAAACTAAATTAGTTCCAGGAGAGGGCTCAGAGGCCCTTGGCTTCCACTTCAATGTCAAGATCATGATCTGGCTGTCTGTAGGGAATAAGAGTAACATGTCTGAATGGATTAAACCACAGGGACACTAAGGCTCCAGTCCCACACCTGAGTCAGGTAGAGGAAGACCTGGAGTTGGGTCTCTTGTCTAAGCAAATCCATGGTATATCTGCCGCCAGTTCTCAGATGGGGCTGAGGAAGAGGCATGGGGTCATTTCTCATTTGTTATTTAAATATGGCTCAGAAACCGGTGCTGGTTTTGTTCAGTAAGTTTGCTTCAATTTTGCTACTGACTTTAGTGAGGATAAATTTCAGCCACTGCATGCAAAGCTGAGTGTTGGCACGGCCTTTGGAAGGCTGGGCTAACGTTATTAATGTAGGAGATTCCTGATCCTGATTAATCTCTGTACTCTGCTGAAATATTTATGACCTGGTTTTCTGTTCTTCCACCTATATAAACTGCTCCTACAGGCAACTTTTTTAATATAAGAATTTAGCTATCAATGACATTTTTCTTTAAAAATGTGTATTTTATGCGTTTCAAATAATATAGCTGGACCAATGCTAACTAGAAATAGACAATAATACATTTTCAGAAATACTAATTTTCTTAATTAAATTATTTTTCTTAACATTCCTTTCTCCCTTAATAAAGATTTTTCAAAATTTACACGACCCGAGAAATTACATTGATCAAGTCATTATTCCCTTTTTCATTTTTATTAACTTCTGCCTTTCTCTGCTTCCAAACTAATATTTGCAAGATGTTTGATTAAGTTATATTATAAGAAAGAAAAATCAAAATGTTTTCCATGTTTTCTTAATACCAGAACTTTGCCACTAGATGTCAGATTCCGGTGATGCTTTTCATATCTGATGAATCAGAAAAGCAGGGCTAGGGCCACTTTCAAGAAAATATGTGAATGCAAATGAAATAAAAGAATTCCCCAAGTAGAAAATATTGCTTTTCCATATAATTTATCAATAACAAATTATTTTCCACACAATATGTATACCAGTTCTACCAAATTGGAGCAACGAATGTGGAAGAACCAGATACTACAGTACGATTTTACCTTACAACCAGTGCTGCCCCCTAACTTTAAGTTCTTGTGAAATATGATGTAAAAAGCTGCATTTATGTAATATCAGATTGTAACATCAGGCAAACGCTCCTATTAATTTCAATGGGAGCTGCACAAACTCTATACAAAACAATTTTTTCATACTATTCCTTATGCACATTATATATTAATACAGAGTTTAAGATACAAAATCCTAAAAACTAAATGAGTATCAGAAAACCATCATGCTCCCCATAAAAGCTCAGTCACTGAATAAACAGAAAAACTACAACAGATTTCTGATTCACTTCTTCTCCTACAGACAAAATATAGCAATTATGCAGAAAAGAGTAGGAGAAAATTTTAAAAATAAAATAATTTGCACTTCTACCATTCATTTATTCATTTCTCACACACATATATGCATGCTCTTAGTTTATCAGTTGTTTGTATTTCAAATTATTATATATATAAAATATAAATATTATACACACACACACTCTAGTTACTAAAAGAGGTGTCTGAGCAGTAATTAAGCTAAAATTACAGTAGGGCAGGTTTTGTCCGAGTTCTGTTGGGCCACCCTCTGTGAGAGTATGATTATATCTCTAGGATATGATTACATACATTTTTCTAGGGTTATAGAGGTGAATATTTCAAGAGCTACGAATTCACAACAAAACAATTTATTTTAATGATGGGAAAAGGAAACGCAGTTAATGTAAAACTGCTAATTCTGCTTTCAGTCCCACTGAAGTAAATCAGAACTTCTCCAGGAAGTGCATCATTAACAGCTAGCCTGTGGAAAACACTGGTTCACATAATGAAGCACATCAACTGACATTTTAACATATGAAGTTTAATTTCATCTTGCAATATATACAAAAAAATAACACCAGATAATGCAAAAATGTATGTACCACAGAGAATGCACGCCCCAGCTACAGAAGAGAATCATACATCATTATTTCTGGTTTTAAAATCCTGAAGAGAGTTTTCAGGTGAAGAACCATTCATACCTGAGTGATTCTTACCTGGCTCTCAGAGCTGATAGCTCTGCATCTGAGGCTAGTTAACCCTGACTGCATCTTCCAAAAAGCCAAGTGTGTAGGGATTCAAAGTGACATTATCAACTATAATGAGAAATGTTGCATATAGTTTTGCCTGAGAGAGCTCAGGCAAAATTGAGGGAAGGATGATAACTCACACTGATGGAGAGGTGAAAAACATTCCCCTAAATGAAAAGAAGTTTGAAAGATGAGCTCACAGAAACTGCTGCCAGCAAACTACAGGTTCCAAAGCGACTCAGTGAAATCGACCACTGATGTGTGATGGGAACATGTAATTGGTCTGAAAATTGTCCTGACTGCTGTAACTTACACCAAGCACCTGAAACCCAGTGGGAGAGTAGCTCACTCTCTTTACAGACATGCTCTTCCATGTTTGAGAATCTGTGTAGTGTATTTCAGGCAGTAACATACAACTTGGCATCCAACTGGCATGAATCAACATATTCATGTGACTTTATGGGTTATTGAAGATGCTAATTACTATGTGCTCCAAGTGGTTTGAGGTTTAAATATGGTAACCTACATACTCTGTGGGTGTATTCAGAAGAGTCACAAAGTGTTATTTTTTTTGAACAACCACACTAATTGGTGCCATGAAAGAAAGAAAAAAAAAAAGTGGGCAAAATAAATCAAAATCTCTTTTTGATTATTATTTACTTAGCATGTTTACTGATCTGAGAGAAATCCCCCAGGCATTAGGACTGAAGTTCTGTGTTCCCTCATGTTCAGTCAAGTGTATTGCTCTGCTAATGATTACATTAGCAAAACTTACATGTAACAGTAATTGAGGTGACAGGATCTAATCTAAGGAACACTGAGGAAAACATATTAATAGATCTAAGATCACAGAGATCATCTGGAGAACTGAGGGTGCAACTTCTCAGTCCACGTGTTGCTGCTCATGAATGAGTTGGCATTTTCCCTGCTCTTCTCCCTCTCCACGTTACTGCTGTCCTAAGCCACATGTTCCCACTACTGGGGCTGAGCTATTACAACTACTTATATGGTTGTGCAGTCAGACAGGACAGGGCATCTCCCCAGCAGGCACTGAATCCTACCAAAAATACAAAGATTGGTTCTCAGCCAGCTCAGTTCCTGATGAAGCACTGTAACTATCATTACTACTCTGAGTTGAGTGCATTTTGCTACTGAAACTTCTCCACTTCATTAAAAAAAAAAAAAAAAAATCAAAGTAAAAGGTAAGACAGAGGAAGTTTGAGGATGAGTGATTCTCAATGATCACCTGGGCAGAAGAAGGCTTGTTTTCTGCACTGTAATCTAGTCATGTAGAATACACAAGAAGCCCTGTAAATAAAGGCCCTAATGTTTTCCTATGGATCGGTGTATCAGAGTTTGAATGTTTTCTGCTTAGTGAAATCTGAGCTCTGAACAAAGCTTGTCCATGTGGTATTCCTGACATCACTCTCTTGTGTTCATTCTTTGATGGTGTATGAAGATGAGCTCATGCTTCATTCTTCTGTGCAGTGGGGCACTGCTAAGGTCTTGCTCCTCTTCCCTGTTGCCCTTTTCATTAAACTGGAAAAACTTATTCTGGAGACCCCTATTGCTTGAAAGCCTTCTTTCCACAAAAGGCCTGGCTCAAAGGCAGCCTCTGGAACAAGGACCAAAATCTATGGGGGCTCTTTCCTCCTAGTTCAACATCCTGACCACTCAACCACTCTCTTGTTTCTGCTCAGTGAATACTGAAGCCCTCCATGCAGAACAGCACAGCCTTCACAGAATGGAATGAGAATGTCACGTTCTGCCCCCTCCACTGCCCGTCAGTGCCATTGGGGAGCCTGTCTGGAGCTGAGGTGGGTTTGAGTCTCCTCAAAAACTGGTGAGAAGGGGGACCCATTTCCTACCTTTGAAGACAGGTTTCAGTCAAAAGCTTTTCAAAATATGCAGCACTACCCCTGCATTTGTGTGGTCTTTGATCTGTTGAGAGGCATTCATGATTCTACAGTCACTATATAACAGCCACTGGTTCCTATGCCTGCCACCTTTCTTTTTCTGGCTCAAGAGCCTAGAACTAAGCTCTGTTAAAGCTAGCCTTAATGCTTTTTGGCAGATCCCTTTTAGTTCGAATCAGCTCCCCAGTTAAATTCAAGCATTTGTGTCAGCTTGAGGGACAACCACATGAAACTGAGTACTTTCTTGGCTGGAGGTGACAAAGACAGGACTACAGCTTTTGACTCCAGTGTGGGGTTACATCCTGACTTTAAGTGACCATGAAGTTGTGGCTTGAGTTTAAGCCCTTAGAGGAAAATACAAGAATACCTACATTATGGATCTCAGTTAGGTTCAGAGGCTGCAGCACTGGTTAAGTCACAACTGAAACACCAACAGGGGCAGCGGAACACCTTCAAGATGCCTCTGGGGCTTAGGCACTGTCTGTAGACTTGGTTGTCTAAATTGACTTCAGGAGATGACCTTCTGAATGGAGAATCTTACTGTAGTCACTAAACATAACTGTCTAGAGATTCAGAGGAAATTCCCATGAAGACAGTTACAGTTCTTCTCACCCTTCCTCTACCTTTAAGAAACAAGACTCTCAGGTCAATTAAAACCGATGCTAAAAATCATAAGTACTACTAAATAGCTATTTTTAGCTAAGAGTTAAATCAGTTGCCTGATTCCAACTCTTTAGACTTCTGCTATGGAGCAAAAGTTCCTTTCTGTTGTGCTACCCCCAGGAAAAATAACAGGATCCTTGTCTGACCTGTCTGGAATTTCTTGTCTGTCTCATGAAATCTTACTGACTCTACAAGAATAATCCCCAGCTTGTGCCTGCACTTCTGGTTCACTTGTGCTAATTTGTGTGTCCTGGAGTTCAAGTACTGTAAAGCTGGCTTGTTTCTTCAGGTGAATTCGTTTCTTAGATCTCAAGCAAAACAAACAAATTTTTCAACTGCAGGCACACATAAAATATTGCCTTGGGTATAGGAACAGTTAACCAAGGAACTAAGTTTCTTTGAAACAAGGATGTGAGAAGGAAGGCTCAAGGCAGCTGTGGTTCATTACTGTATCAAGCCACATTAGCCTGTGGCTCATGTGTTCGCAATATTATTTAAATGACTGTTCCGACCTGAAGACTTGCTTCAGTGTCATTATTTAGAGTGAATATCCAGCAAAAAGCTCTTAATAATGTGTTTTCTTCAAACATCTGCTAAAAAGTCTATGTTACAATAAGAATGGTAACATCTCAGCAACAACGTATTGACAAATCCAGGGGTTTAAGTGATAACAATTAGTTGAGAGGAGCTGATGTATTTCTGGCACAGTAACTCACATTGCTTTCTAATTCAAATTTCCAAGTTTTTTCCTGGTAATTTAGTACTATGAAAAACACTACTAATTTACTACAGTAAAAAGCACTACTAATACTAATCTGACTTTCTGATGTCATAGGAACCAGAAACTTAAAATTAACAGGTATTGCAGGTGCTACATGTGTAAAAATTGAAACCTACTTCTTTTCTGATGTGGCAGCAGCTTTTACACCACAGACAAAATGGCCTTCACATGAATAATAAAATGCCAGTTTATGCTGTTATAATGGCCATATCTGGATCTTAAATTGGAGAGCAATGTGAACTGCAGACTGAAGACTAAACAGTTCTTGGACTGAATATAATTTTGTTGACCTTCTGTGTCACATTCTTCCCTCAAATCTTTTCTCCTAGGCAGAAAGCCATTAAATATTTCACCCACTGGTGCATTTTCTGTTCTTTGAATTGTATTTACTATTTATTGGTGGTCTTCCTGCCTCGCCTTGTGAAAGTTATTCCTGATCACTGAGTCCTTTGCAACTTGCTGTGGTGGTTGAGGTATTATACAAACTTTAAAATCCTCATTTGTCAGTCTGCTTGGCTCCACTTCTTTTTGTTGTGACCTTCTTCTGAGAAAATGGATCACTTAATGGAAATGCCTTTTAATAACTTTACTGTTATTAAATAAACAGTCATAACAGTCATTGGGATCCACACCATTTCCATGCTGGAACAATTCTTTAAAACATGCTTAAAAATGCAAACATATAAATGAGGAAATCACAAAGAGGGAAGGAAAACCAATGAAGCGCCATGGAATTGTGAGGTGGCCTGTATTTAGGACAAAATATTTCAAACAACTGAGAACAAAGAGTAACTTCCATATCAAAGCCTGTCTCTTTGTACCTGACCTGTGCGTTTAGGTAACAGTTTCTGCCACCAGCAGTCTGGGCTGACTTCCCCACTAAGACATAAGGATGCTTGGCAACTAACATTTATATCTAGCACAAGCTCCTCCAACCAGGAATACTGAAAACCTAATGAAGTCAATGGAGTGACTTGCTTCCTAGCAGTCTTTGGAGCAGGCACAAATGAACTGTATTGATTTTAGATAGGTCAATGTTTCTCAAGCTTTTTCTTAAGACTAAATACCACTTGGCTCCCTTGCTTTCATCTGACTCATGAGCTGGCAGTGTCCCAGTGCATCTAAGTCAGGGACCTGGTTGTAAGTACTGTCTACAAGTGTTAACCCCCCATGGAAGAAATAAACTGCTGCTCAGCACTGCTGCTGCTGAACACTCTGCAACCTTCCTACTCCTTTGAATTCTTTAACCACCCTGAGAAAGCAGCTCACCACTGAGAAAGGCTGATTTGGATGGGAGGCTCCTAGAGAGAAAGCTGGTCACACAGTGCCCATCCTTTCTCTTTTCCCCTCCCTCCAGCACCTGAGGTACTAACTTACATTAAAACAGAAGCTCAAGGGCACTGTCTCCTGGCACTGCTTCCCTAGGCAATGTGGCATCTCAGTAACGTGATCATAGGCAGGAAGGAAAGTGCCCCATGCAGTAGAGAAGGTGGAAAGTGATTCATTAGGGTGGAAGACAATCTAGTAAAAGTGAACAAACTTTCTTTGTTCTATTAAAAAAGGACTAAGGCTATCACTAAGAATTGCTGAACTAGATTAATAACCTCATGCAGTTGCCACATTCTTGCTTCCTAGGCTGAAAAGCTTCCTGGCCTGCAACTGCCTTTTGGATATCTTTTTCTTTTTTAAACTTCAGTGAGAAAATGAAAGGATGTTGTTACTTAAGTAGTCGGTGCACACACTTATTAGTTCGTTGTAAGTGACAGCTGCAGGACTTCATTAGTGCAGGCAAACGTGAGCAACTACACAGACAGGGGGGCTGACTTCCATGGTAGCAGTAAAACCTGCAGAACATACCCCCTGAGCCACTGCCATCAGCCCTGACTCCCGCCCAGGGAGGCAGAGCTGCTGGCTGAAGATTTCTTCAGTTCTATTTTCATAGACTGAGTCTCGGCACGAGGCTCGAATTTTGTCACATTTCCTGCTCCTGGGGCTGCCACTACTGGCTTTCCTGCTTTCATACCTTTTGACACAGGAATGCGGGTGGGTGTAGGTCTCGGGGATGACCCATCCTGTCCTGTCTGCAAAAGAGAGAGAGAGAGAGAAATTACATGAATGGAGGACTTTTTCTTCTCACATATGCTCATGACATACTTTTCATTGGTTCTTCATGTACTTCTCAAGCAACAAATCACACATATTAGCAAATTAACGTTCACATTTGGAACCTGCCTATAGCACATACTGCTAGAGTAGGGCCAAAGGTACCGTCAGGATCAGACGAGTTGCCCGTTTGACCAGTGACCTCGCCATGAGGTCTGGTGTTTTGTATCAAGATCTCATAGGGATGGGAAGCCCTGCAAAACTCTGATTCCACAGCACATGAAAGTGCAGGACGGCCTTAGAAGCTACTGAAATGCTGGCTCAGCTGTCAGACAGGTACAATGTTAGCACCTTGCACAGAGATTAGCACAGGCCCTCAAAAGAGTATAGCCAGAAGGCTAATGCTGAACCCAAGGTAACTGCCATGTTTTCTCAGCTGGGGCAAGACTTGTCAGCATTATAGATAAAATTGAACTTTGCTTCTCAATAGTATCCTGACACCATGGCTGGTGCCACGTATTTCTGCACGGGGAAAACCAGAGTGCTGGGAGAGACAGAGCAAAGATTTGAACTTCCTTTTCCCTTGGCTGCAGGAGGAGGGATGTGGGAGAGGACTCTCGCCCTCCAAGCTCTAGCCACAATTTGATGAACTCTAGTGAGGGTGAAGCAGGCAGCCCAGATCTCCAGAGGTATCTCAGAGCACTGTGGACATGGTCACTTTACTATCTCTGCCAGTCTGCTGCCCTGGACAACAGCCTAGCAAGCACACTCCTCCTCAAGTTTGAGGATTTCAGAATAAAAAAAAATTAAAAACAATATAAATAAATAAATAAATAAATGCATGAATAAATAGAAAAGGCCTAATCAGCTGAGGACCCTAGCATAGGACTGGCAGACCCACCGTGGCTCCTACCAGGATTCTGTGCCCTTCTGGAGCACCAGCTGGAGGCCAGGCCAGCTATCCTATAGCTTTGAAAATGCAATCAGTACATAGGTTCAAGCAACTGAATCCCACTGTGTAAATGCACAAGGAGCACTTGGGTAGGACAACAGGATTCCGATTGATATCTTCTATCTCCATTGGCCAGATGATGTTGCACATACTCTGCAAGGCCAAAAACTGGACACTACGCCTTATGGTTCATGAGCTAAAGAAAATGCTTATAACCATGACAATTCTGAAAGGAAAATTTATTTTATCTTCTGCAGTGTGCAATACAGGCACAAATGGTAATGGTGACAATTTCAGCATCTTAGCTGAATTTCACATGTGACTTTTTTCTGTTCAGGTAATGGATGAAGACTTTGATCTCACAAAAGAGAACACTTCTCAAAAGATCCTGAATTCCTACTAGACCCATCTGCTAAATGACTAAATTCTGCAACTTATGACATGTAAGCAAAGTAAAACTAAACTGCTGAAACAGATTGAACTGATGTTGACTAGATTGAACTGATGTCGACTGCAACATGCATTTGCATATTTACTTTAAAATGCTTTTAAAAAATGCTCCACAAAGGAGCATTTTTCTCCCTTGAAGGATTTCCAGCCAGTAGCATCAGGGCCTTCTGTCTGCATCCTGAGTATTCAAAGGAAAACCATTCCTTAATCTTCTAAGGACAGTTCAAAACCGAATGCATACACAAAAAAAAAAAAAAAATCACAATTGGAAAACTTGAATGCTGTCTGCCTGGCAGGAAGGAAGCCATTTTCAATAACTAAAAGCAACATTTACAATAGCAGTCCAAAGGCTAATATGGAACTCACATGTAGATGTCAAAACAAGTTAGGCCCATACAATTCTGTAGGGCAAAACATGCAAATGCATTCCATCAGCCTTGGAAAATATGTCAACATCCCAGGGAACCCAAATGACAAACATCTTGTACTCCCTGAAAGAGCTCCACAGTGTGTAAACATGAGGCAATCAAATGAAGTAGCTGGAATCTCAAGCATTTCTTCAGCTTTATTCACATGTAAATTATTAACTAAGGATTTGGGCTCTTTCAAGTTACTCATTTCAAGCCTAAATCACTCAAAAGCACTTTGAAAAGAAATCTAACTTGCTTTAAATTTCTTAGTTGCCTTCCTAAAGGCATAGTAACGATCATATGGAAGCTAATGCCTGCTCCACAGGCAGCTGCAAAAGCATTTTGTGCTTGCTAAGTGAAACGGCACAAAGGTGGCTCTTCAGAAAGCATGTTTGGTTTATAACAGATCCTGCTTAGTGCATTTTATTGAGAAACATACCCAAAAAAAAAGTGCTTTAACCACACATTTACTTTTGGAATATTCCAATAACACAGGTGGGTTTTCAGCACTTGTTCCTCATCAGATCAGGGACCAGCTTGGCCCGGACAGAAACGCTTCAGTTCTGACAGATATTTAGTGCCATTTGAGATGTCCTAGGCTACTCAAGCTACCTGCAAAGGGCTGTTAGATAAGACAGCGGACCCCAGGAGACCTGCAACCTCCCCTAAAGCAGATGGAAGGTAGGTAGGCTATTTGACAGCACTTAAAATGACACTAAAGAAACACGTGCCCAGCGAGCTCTGGCACCCAGCAGCCTTTTAGCTGTGCCTTGCTGCCTTGGTCACAGCACGCTCTGCATGGTTGGTGCCGTGCCACTGCGCTGGCTCTGCTGCAGCCAGGATTCCCTCTGCTCCCTGAAGCTTTGCATGTCACCGGGCTCACTCTGTACCCTGGCCACAGAAACAGCTGGCACTGGATACCAGGCTTGTAGGAAGTGGAGAGCGCAGTGATTATAGGACTGACATCCATCCTGGTAGCCAAGAAGTCCTACAACCAAGTATAAGGCATAAATAGGGGAAAAAAAAAAAAAAGGTTATAGGCATCACAGCTTTTGGGTTTTTTTTTCCAAAGAATATTTGGTTTTATTCTATGGGGTTCTTTTATTGTAACCTATATGAACTGCCCTGGGAACAGGGACCTAGACTAATGTGCTAATACAAGACTAACAACCAGGCTGCAGTTTCAGGCTTATTTTGGTCTGCATAGCCTCTGGTCTCATTGTCTTGAATTTTTGGTTGTGCCATGTGGTCCATCTGTAATTAAAAAATTATCTGCTAGGTCTGCTATGGTAGTCTATGTGTTCTCCAGGGAGCGGGTTTGCTGCTAACCCTATTTTTACCACTTCTGTGGTAACTACCCAAATCCATAGACTACCATATTAAAGCCAGTTACCACTTTAGGGTTTGGTTCTTTTCCATTTTTTTTTTTTAATCAAAGTGACAATGTTCTGCTAAATGCTGAATTCAATTGAAGGGATCATACACCAGCTTCTGCCATGGAGACCCCTGTGGAACTGGACTACACTGGGTGGCAGAGCTGGTGTGATGAGTCCTGGGCTTAAGCAGCAGGCAGAGCATGAACTCCAAAACAGTCCAGTGAGTTCAGGTGCCAGTGAAGACACAATCACTGAGCGGTGCCTTTTTTGGTGCATCTTTTTGGATAAGTGCTAAAAAATTTCCTGAGTTCTCCTTCAGGTGCCTGTGTCTTTCTCTGGATCAGGGTATCATATGACATCCTGAATCACAACTGTTGCAGACACAGAAAAGGACTTGGATCAGAGGAACATAAATCTCTAGGCACTATAGAGTATGTCAGTGTAAATCAACACAACTGTAACACCCCTCAATCCATGGGATTCAAGGGATTCAAAAATCATGATTGTCCATCATGAAACCACAGCCTTTGATTTTGGACTTACACATACAGGGAGAGACCACTGTTCTAGCTGAACCTTTAAAAGTACTGTGTGTGCACCGTAAAATTAACTTCACCTGCAGTACTGAAGATAACTCTATAAATTCAAATTGGAAAAAGAGTTAAACGTTTTCAAAGATCAAAACAGTAACTGCAAATTTGTTAAGCAATGTATCAACATGAGCCAACAATGTGTGAGTGCAGCCCAGAAAGCCAGCTGTTTCCTGGGCTGCATCAAAAGAAGTGTGGCCAGCAGTCTGAGGGAGGTGATTCTGCCTCTCTACTCCATTCTTGTGTGACCCCACCTGCAGTACTGCATCCAGCTCTGGAGCCCCCAACCCAAAGACATGGAGCAGGACCAGGAGAGTGCCACAATGATTATCAGTCTGAGGGCCGGAACACTTCTCCTACAGGAACAGGCTGAGAGAGTTGGTGTTGTTCAGCCTGGAGAAGAGAAAGCTCCAGGGAGACCATATTGTGGCCTTCCAGTATCTGAAGGGGGCCTACAAGTAAGCTGGGGAGGGATTTTTCACAAGGGTGAGTGAAAGGTGATAGGGTGAGGGGTAATGACTTTAAACTGGAAGAGGATAGATTGAGATTAGATGCAAGGAAGAAGTTCTTCAGTATAAGGGTGGTGAGACAGGGCAACAGGTTTCCCAAGGAAGTTGTGGATGCTTCACCACTGTATGTGTTCGAGACCAGGTTGGATGGGGCTTTGAGCAACCTGGTCTAGTGGGAGGTGTCCCTGCCCATGGCAGGTGGCTTGGAGCTAGATGATCTTTAAAGCCCCCTCCAACCCCAACCATTCTATAATTCTATAACTCTACGAGAGCTAGGAGTTTTAGAATTATTTTGCCCTTTGTACCTTGGCACCACCTTAGTGCATTGTACAAAACGCCTTGTATGATAAGAAAAAAATTAAAATCAGTAAGCTAAGAAAGCAGCTGTGTACCCATTTGTCTTCTCTAATTTTATGACCTTAAATTCTCAAAATTATATAAATGTTGGTTTCTTCTAAGGCTACTGAGTAAATTATCACAACTTCTATCTTCTGACTAGAGGTATTGAAATGTGTTTTTAAAGCAGTCATTTGTAAAACAGATGGTGTATATACAACTTCTATTTTTTTTCCAAGGGGTTAGGGGAAAAAAGGCACATTTGGGTTCGTTTGAAGTTCTCTGCTTATCTGACTGGGGACCTTAAAAAACAAAGGGAAGCATAAGATAAAGTAAATCTTATGGCTCAACTATTTTCCTTACATTCCAAATCCGAGAGGATGAAGTGAGGAAAGAAGCCACTTTTAGCCAGATGAAAACAAACCAAAAAAGTTTTCTCTGCCATGGTTCAGTGCATCATCACAGTAGAGACAGATATTTAGTAAAAGGAATGAGGAACTCTTATAAAAAGTGTTTTTCCAAGCTTCTGAGAGACAAGGGAGTTTGTAAATTAATTAATTCAAGACTTTTTAAAAAAATTAACAGTTGCTTCTAATATGTAGGGA